TCAAAACCAGGAGATTTATTTAAAAAAAAATTTTATTTAGTTAATATATCTGATCTTGAGAAATTTAAAAAAAGCTTAACCAGATACTTTTTGGAGGGTAGTGTATATATGCATAACTGCATAATGTTAGTCAAACTGTCAGACAAATATCATATCAGAATATTATAATATAACTATTTTAGTAAACTTGAGATATAAATAATGTATAACTATTATAATTGAATAACATAAAATCTACTTGTTGAATATGAGAAATAATACTTGCATCAAATTTCTAGATTGAACTTAAAACTTTATTAGATACATAATACATAAACCTTTATATAAATCAAAATCCTTTGCCAAGAGTAAAGGAGCAACTTTCATATGTATTTTTCTGAAATCATAAAATAATTTTGCAGGTAAATTCATGTATTACATAATAATTATTCAATATATTTATGTCTAAATAAAGTAGGTGTTATATAAATATAATAGAAAGTAGACTTTATAATCTAATAATAGATTGGTAATAAAACGAAATTATAATATGATATAATTATAAACAAATTTTAACTTGTAAAAGGTTAGGTTATTTGTTATTTATAACTTTTGTTTATGTCACTTTCGGATATATCTCCATTTTCTAAAATCTTTTATCTTCCTTTTCTGAGGTGAAATAAAACTTTTGATAAAACAATTTATCTTGAATAAACTTAAAAGTTAATTTCGTGAAAGAAATCATCATTAGAAGCTTTTTTGAACAAAGAAGTTAGATTGGTCAATTAATATTGTCAAAATAAACTACTTGATGATATCTAAACATCTAATAAGTACATTTATAAGCAATCTCATTATAATTTTCGATAATTAAATAATAAGATTATTTTCAAGTCCTTATCATTGATATCTGCTATCAATCAATCTCAAATTATTATTATATGAAAATTTCTAAAATAAACTATTGGTGAGGTAAAATATGACCTAATTGAGAAAATAATTTGGATAAAACCCTTCAGTGAGTATTAAATTACCTCCAATGGTAAAGAGGAACCCGAAACTTATTAATAGTTTCAGAGACTTTTCCCATTTGTATTTTAATGATTGTTAGTTAGCTGTATTTTTATTAGAATAAGATTTAATTATTTAATATATGATAATGACTAAGATACTTACATATTACTATCACTTGTGAGTGTACTACTTTTATCATTTTACTTTCAGCCAAAAGAGTTGAGTTGACTAATCATTTATGCTCGTGTAAATCTAGAAGAACTTAAAAATATCACCAATATAGTACATATTTAATAAAAGAATCAATCAAGACGCGAAAAAAAAGAAAGTGGATGGTTTGTGTTACGTCGATTTTTTTGCCCTAATAAATTTTTATGAATTTAGAAATGTAACACAAATTTTTATTCGTTGATCACGCTCATCTTTTGGACCAAAAAAAAAAATTTTCGTTTTTTAATTATTATTTTCGTACTGTTTAAAAAGATGAAGAATATTCCAGTTATGAATTCTACAAATAAGATCGAAACAACAACAATCTTTTTGAATTTATTCAACAACGTAACGAGGATTCAATGGGATAAAATACACTTATATCCAGATTCTAAGGTACAAGAAACTAACGTTTAGATTTTTTTTCGTATTTTGTAACTTAATTTTTAATGTTGCGAATTTAGGAATCTTCCTCATTCCCTCATGTATATAGCCATAATGGCTGGCGGTTCGGGTTTAATAAGATTCTTTAAGGTATATACCGGTAGAACAAACATTAATAACATTTTTTCAATATATTTTGTACATCAACCAATTAAACCATAATTTTATAACTTCCCTTAGAAAATAGAATCACTTAAACCGGAGATTTAGAACCCATAACTTTAACAACAATTAGAAAGCATTTATCTTTTGTTGTGGTTCTAATTATTGACGGATTATGTCAATTACCATTTAGCGATGGATTTGTCGCTTAAAGAAGATCAATGGTCGAATGTATTGATCGAACTATGTAGGATAATAAAACGTGGCGGAAATGAAAGCAACCTATTAGAAATTATCGTTAATGATTCACCTTAAAATTAAAATTTTATAATGTTCTGTAGAAGGTTGAATTGAAAAAAGTTGAAGGATTTGATGTAGTTTCAAGCACATTTGTTACTCTAGGATTTAAATAAAGATAAACCCAATGAACCTATAATGACAATTAAATTCCAAAAATGTATATAATTCAAATGCATATTTCCCAAGTTTTACCATTATGAACCACATCGTAAAGGTAATTCCAAGAGGCACTTTAACACATAAAGTCATCCTAATTCAAAAAATTAATCTTGTCGCTTAAATGAATGCCAACCAAGATCAAAGAAACTTTTATTAAACAGTATATGGTTGAGTCCAAATATCATGAATTGCTGTTCGAACTCATTTTATTAACTCCAATAAACAAAATTTGACACTTCATTTCCTTCTATAAGAACAAAATAACGGACATTACCTAATCAGTTCTAAATTCTCGGGGGGGGGGGGGAAAAATGGAATAAATTTTTTTTAAGACCATAAAACACGTGAATTCTTAAAAATATTATTATGCCATTCCGACTGGTCTATATCTTCAGAATTATATTGTCTCTGTCATCTGTGTCATGGATCTTATTGCCAACCAATCCTTCTTTATAACAATTACCCTAAACGTTAATTGATATATTTCCTATATGGCTTGATCTATATTTATATTTGTTCCGGATTTTTCCTCATGAAATTTACTTCATCCCAATTTTATCTATACCATATAAAGATCCGTTGACAACGAGAAACTAAATAAAAATCTGCATACTTTTTCAATAACTTTAACATGGTAAGAATGCGAGGGCAGAAGTAAGTGATAACGAAACAAAATAAGAGACAGATCTCAGTATCTGTTGTTCCATAATTTGATATTAATGAACCCGGAAATGACGTATAGCCTCGACCGAGAATTCTTGGTAATACTCAAAAGCACTAAAAGCTTGTTTTTCTTTGGGTCCGGCGTCATGGCGGCTACCAAACATATAGGGGTGTAGGTGCAGATGTTAAAGTCACACTTGTTTAAATATCAGAAAGCGCTTCGAAGTGAAGGTATCGGAATGCTAGTATTAATAGATAGCAATTGACACAATCATTATTTAAATTAATAAATTTCAAGACAAATGAAATAAAAAAAGTTCTACCAGGTGATAGATGAATTATTGTTATTTTGTCTTCATTTTAATCCATCCAGGTAGCCAATCTCCGGTAATGCCAATATCTTGAACATGTAATTTGAATTTCGTGGAGGAACCGGGTTTCACCGTCAGTACATTTAGATACCAAATGAAGCTTCTTAAGCGGCTGATGACATTGAAATGACAGGGTCAATGACAAATAATTGGATTCAGCATCGAGAATAAGGTAAAGACTAAGATGATAAGAAAACTTAAACACCATCCAAAAATTAATTAATAAATAAATCTAGAATTTAAAGCTTACTACCACGTTAAATTAGACCATAAGCAATTTAACATTGTAAAATTTTCCTTATCAAAGTGACATCTATGAAAATAATGTGTTAGTGGAAATGATGCCATCTAACCCTATGATGAAAGAACAGCATTAATACATGAATGAAGATAAAAAGGAAAATTAATATATTTTTATTTTACCTTTCGAAGTTCGGGTATTTTCACTTAACTTAATTCAATGTTATCTGGTCCAATGATTACAGCATCTTTCGCAGCACAATCTCAAACTGATTTAGCACATCACCACCACCGTTAATATAAACCTCTTAACATCCATTTTCTAAAATTACAGAATTTCTTGGATATATGTACTGTAAGAATCCTGTGTTAATCAGAATAATTAAGTAAATATTTTGACGATCCAGTGGATAAGCGGGATATTATAAATCATCTTCAGGATAACTGTAATAAATCAATTGTTATAATAACCAATTATAATAACTTAGCACCAACTTTATAACGCAACTACGCTTGTTAAGTTGATAGTTTCAACAATCCATTCCGTGATTCGTTCATCTATGCTACGTATTCTCTAAGACCTCTAATTCGTATAAATTGGAAAGTATTTTCATCTAATTCTTCTTTTTACTTTACAATTTATCTAAATAATTAGGAAAATGGAAATAAGTATTATATATATAATTTTTAAAAAAAAAATTCAGATATAATTAAACATAAGTCCGAATAAATACTGATTTGGCTTCATCGGCTTTTTTGTTGAATTTCATTCGTAAGTTTTTCTATTTCATTATTTAGTCTTATAATTCTCTTTCACTATTTGCTAAAGAATTTCGATTTTTAATCCTATCCTTTTCCGCCCTTGATTGGCCACTTGAGACTTGATAATTCGCTCATTTATTAAAACAAGTTGATCTTTAACATGATCTATTTTAAACTTTTGTGCTCGAAGTTTATCACCCCCAATTCTAAAATCTTAACTTGCAAAATTTTCATTCTATCTAACTCGTGTTAGACGATCAATTTGTATTCGAAGTTGTCACATACGACTAGTATCATCTATTTTTTTTTGCCTTATAGATAAAAAAATAAAAAATAAAAATGATTACTATTAACCCTTAACAAGAATTTATTAGTAAAATACAGTTATGCATACCGTAACTCGGCTACTCTTTTTCAGTATAGAGAATACGGTTTGCGCAAGCACTCGCACCCATCTCTAACTTCGATAACTCAAACTCTAATTTAGAGAGCTCATTCTTTTTCTCTTGAAATTGTAGTCGAAAGATCTAATTTTTCATTTAATTTTTTTCACTGCATTTCAAAATGGCTACGGTCGTTTTCCAATTTCGATATTGTCTCGGATGTTATGTCCGAAGAAAGTTTCGAACTCATGGAACCTTTAAACACTTGATTACCTCCGCCGCTCATAGTGCCTACGCGCCATCGAGTATTAGTAAATGCGATCCTATTCGCTTGTTGCAGATTTTGGGCAGTGAATGTCCGAACATCATCTAATAGTTTCTTTAATTAATGTAAATAGGTTTTTCCTTATTTTTTTTTTTTTCAAAATAAATTTACAACCAACCAAAGTGTTTTGTAACACACTATAATCTTTCGGCTTAATAAAATCAAAAAGATGGGGAACATTTTCAGGTGTTTGTATAGGGCGCACGTCCATGGTAGGCAGTTCATTCAAAATATGAACTAGGCGCGACCTAAATCGTTTCTTTTAAGGTATTCTATACAAGTTTGTCCAACTTCAATAGAATCAACTACGATGTTGTTTAATGCAGGACAGGCAGTTGAAATCGTGACATCGTATTTATCATCAATGACATCAGGTTACCCAAACGATCCTAATTAAACAAATTAAAATAAATAAGATTTTCAGCAAAACAAATTTATAGAACGCTCCGCACCGACGAACTTACATATAATCCTTTTATACGATCACTTTCTTTGTGCTTTATCAAGCTACTAAGGACTTGGCCTCTAGACCGAGAAGAATTTAAAAGTCTTTTCGCCTCATCTTCTATTTGTCGAGAATCGGCAAGACTAGACTTGGAAAGTTCTTGCTGATTAAGGTAATGCTAAAAGTAATAAAGATATTTATGAGAATCTTAAAATACTTAATATAATTTAAATGTTAAATAATAACCTTTAAATCAGTGTCTAAATGTTGAATTAATAGTTTCATGTCTTTAATTTGATTCTTTTTAGATGAGATTTCTTGTCCCTAAAGAAGCAGTTCAATTATAATTAAATTCATCACAAAAAAAGCAATTGATGCCTTATAATAATACCTTTTCCGACATGATTCTCTAATCGTGACAGCATCTTCTTCTGCTTGTTTAAGATCTTGTTTATTGAATCAACTTTCTCTTTTAGAATGCTATACTCAGATTGGTTTACATCAATAAGTGATTGCCTTGCATTGATTTTCTTAACCAGGGTGCAAACTCTCTTTTCTTTTCTTCAATTTTGTTTGAATAAACTTCTGATTTGCCTTTTTTTAAATAAATTCAGTTACAATATAAAAAAGCTATTTACCAAATTAGATTAAATAATCGATTCACATACCACTTAAGCTTTCCCTGATTTTTTTCAAGTTCACTTTCTTGGGCCTCTAAAGATATTTCCAAGCCCTCATTCGATTATTCAAATCCTTTCGTTAAATCGTAATGCTGTTTTCGTTTCCGAAAGTCCATGACGATCCTATAATAAAAATCATTTGTTTCTTTTTCAAGTTGCTTATTAAAATAATACAATTATTAAATTAATGAAAGTTTATTTATTTGTAAATTTTTATAACTATTTTACCTGAAAGGCATTAACAGAATTATCTTCAAGATTTTTGTTATCTTGTTTTATCTGAACATGCTTTCTTCTAAGTTGATCTTTTGATTTATTCTAAGATTAATAAATAAATTAATTACCATAATAAATTAACTTGTCTTAATAAGTTATTAATTCTAATGACTTACCACAGCCTTAGTTTATTAATCTTACAATCTAGCAATTTTTTTGATAAAGGGCGGATTATTTCAAAGTTAACGTGTTTTCATCTCGAAGAAAATCTTCTGCTTCTTATTTTGGCCTTTCAATTCAATAAGGTTCGAATCATTATTGTTATTTAATATGATTACCAAAGCGATTTACTAATAATGTTACTTTGTTCTCCTTTTCAACTATTTTAACGCGATTTTATTTTTCTAATCGTTCTTCATCCAATGTTTCAACCGTTTCATTTGCTTCTTCAAGAGGACTTTAATTAAAAGTTCCGACAATGTTTTCAATATATTCTTGTGTCCATCTTCATGCTCATTTTGATGCTTTGGTCATCTGCGATATTA